TCCTACGGGCACTGCACTAGTATAGTCAATGTCAAACTTTCCTGTTTCAGTAGGAAACTCTTGCTGAAATTTTCACTGTGGTCTGACAGCATTGCAGAGACAACCTAAGATAAACTGTGAAAAAATCAGGCTCCTCTGGCTCCTCCTAGAGCTCCTAATGCCAGAATCCACCGGGCCTGAACAAAAACAACCAATCAGGGCTGAGAAAGATATAAAGACGCTTTGGGTTGGAGGCTTAAAGATAGATGATTAAATCTCATTCCCAGGGTACCAAACAGATATGAGCGTGGTATCAATCGTCTCATCCAGCCCTCAGCAAGAACATGAATGAGTGTGTTTCCCAAAAGGTCAAACTTACATGTAGATCTTATATGGAAGCAGATACATAGTTTTGAAAATGTTCATTAGCTTCAGTTCAGTTCATTGCTTTCCACGCTAAACAGCAAACATAATTCATACAAAAAATATGTGATCATACAAACCGCATTCAGAGGGTGGGGAAGGTGTTGGTTGTGGGGTCAAAGCTCAAGTGTTGCTCAGCCTCACTGTATCTTCTCCCCTTCACCTCTGCAGGTACATGGCCATCATCCACCCTCTGCAGCAGCGCATGTCGTCTACGGAGACCAAGGTGGTGGTGGGAGTGATCTGGGTGCTGGCTCTGCTCCTGGCCTTCCCCCAGTACTACTACTCCACCACAGACCAGCTCCCCGGCCGGGTGGTGTGCTTCATCGACTGGCCCGAATACACTGTGTGCGACTACAAGAAGATGTGAGTCTCTCTGTGGAACAGCTATTCAAGCAGTCAACAAGTGCCGTTAATTACTTTTGAATTGACGGCAAATGTGGGAGGATGCTGTTTGTATTCAGTGTTAATGAGAGTGTGGGGCGAAAAAGCACGGAAGCTTTTTGTGCTTTGTGGTGAATAAATTGAAGGCACATCATAAGGGATTTGTGTTCTTTCTCTACTGAAAGGCAAAGGAATCGAGTTAGACAGAAGAAATTAAATTTGATTAAAGCCGTATTCAACCTTTAATTTTACATTTGTAATTCTACTAAGAGTCAACTACTAAGATGAAGACTACCTGTATGCTTTTCAAAAACTGTTTACTAAGTGCTTCACAGAGCAGAAAAAAAATCAATCATAAGTAGGAACAAACAACATGTTGTGCAGGTTCAGACACACTTTTCATTGTTTCTAACAATTTTAGTTTTCAGCTTTTTATCAGAAATCTCGATGTGGATAAACCATGGCCCATTCAGTTCCATGTGATTCCTTCTCTGTTCGGTACTCTATAAGTAAGCTTTTCTGGTCGAAGATGAGAACCATGATTCCCACTTAGTTCAGCTTTTCACACTCATGTTAGCACACTAACATGTATCCGTGGCCTTTACTCTCATTTTTAGCAAGCTGCATTAAAAAAAAAAAGCGAGCCTGACAGCACTCAGGCAAATCTCTTCTCCCATGTAACAGAATCTGATTGATATTAAAAGCCTAATGTGGACAGAGGCCTGTAGGTCCACCTGGCCTACCTTAGTTATTTATCAAACCACAATAGATTGGGGACGTGTGCTAAAAGCCATACAAATGATTTTATAAATGACTATCCCTTTAAGTATCCAAATACATCACACATTTTAAAGTTATTCTTTTGAATTGTGATTTAGAGAGTTCAGCCAGAGGGCTGCGCGCAATGCATATTTCTAAACTACATTCAGAGGAGTGCTGTAGAGGACTTCACTGAATTACTGTGATGCAGCAGGTTAGAGAAGGTTAAAACAAGCTCTGAGTGATGTAAAGGCACAAAGTGGCCCTGGTCAGGCAGCTCAGGGTCAGTCACTAGTCACCTTTCCAGATATCATCTTTCTTTGAGCTTCTAAAATAGAACCAAAGCCCTTTTCATTTCACACCAGTGACTAAACATCAACGTGAATAATTTTAACACTGTATTTATGCATTGCTTGTGCAGAGGAAAAGGCAAAAGCTGTCATTGCTGCTGAAGCACACCGGTTTCATCTCCCCTCGCCTCATGATCTACCATCAAAGAGAAGGCGTGTATTGTTGCACAAAATGCTGGTTGTTAATCTTCCCTTTGCACACACTGAAACGTTGCTGTGCTAGACAAACTTCTGAAGCTGCTTTATTAAAACTGGATAAACGCTGCATGCCTGGAAGCAATTTATTCACACTTTGCACCACTCCAGTAACCTCCAATTTCTTACATTTGTCTTTTTGTAATCCCACTGGCCAACACATATGAAGGCACAAACACAGGTACACTTCCAGAAATGCGCACACGATACTAATTCAGTGAACACAGAAAAACACCCACGCAATGACGCACATATGCAGGCACTCAGACACACAGCAACACAGCTCTGATCACAGCTCTGCTGATGGCAACCTCTCAGCTCATCAGCAACAGTGTTTACCCTGCTCTGCTGCCAGCCTGCTATTGCCTTCCCCTTCTACTGCCTCTGTCACATTTCTCCATGGAAATATAGTTTGTTATGAACAGCGCCACAGCAATTTCATTGTTCATGATGGGATGCCTGCTGCACTTATTACTTTTTTAATGAAAGTGTAATCAGTGACACATAGGAGCTGAGTGAGAACGCAGTAGTCATTCAGCTCAGCTGCTGAAGCTGTAAATGACACATCTGATTAAGGCTGACCCCGGGTCGGGTCCCACATGCCTGTCTTTCCGGGCGTTGTCCCGCTGCCGCTGTCACAGTCTACACCCTGTCTGATGGCCTGTCTGCTGCCTTCGCAGTCAGTGGGAATTAGCAAGTAAGGTCTCATAGGAGGATATTAATAGGTGACACTGTTTGTGAATGCTTACATGGATACCGGAACCATACCGCCATAACATAATCACACCTACACAAAAAGACACTCCTGTCTAACAGTAGGCAGAGTATTTTTACGTGTCACTATACTGGAGCCTGCAACTTAATCTCCACACTTGCTTTGCATATAAAGTGATTACTAAGACTAAGACAGAGCTAAAGAGTTGCTGGGCTTTTTGGAGACAAAATGACTTGCAAAAAGTTGCTATGGGAGGAGGCAGTTCTTCTTAGACAAAACGTGTGAGACAACGAGAGGCTCTGACAAGTAATTGCCAGTTCTCAATTTCAAACCACAGTCCATTTGTGAAGTACACCTGCTATTTGCAGACCACGCAATGCACTTTTCAAGTATAGTAACTAAGTGGATTTACTGAAGTACTGCAGTACAAGTATTTTCATTTTATGATATGTTATACCTTTACGCCACTACATTAATTTGTGCTATAGTTACTGGTTAAAGGTCCAGTGTGTGACATTTAGGAGGATCTATTGGCAGAAATGGAATAAAATAGTCACATATGTTTTCAATAATGACATCGTCTGAAAACAAGAATTACTGTTTTCACTACCTCTTCAGATCCTCTTCTGGCAGAGTCTGCCATGTTGAATTGCCATATTTCTACAGTAGCCTATTAGTACACTCAAGTTTTGTGGCCAGGGTAGTTTCTCTTACACACTTGGAAGACTGAGCTGTATTTAAATGGTTAATCTTTACAACTTTACCGCTAAAGAGGGTGACACGAATGTGTCGCAACTGCACCACTAGATGCCACTAAAGGTGTGTAGGAATTAGTGGCATCTAGTGGTGCAGTTGCGACTCACTCGTTTCACCCTCCCTTTCCAAGCACGAAAAAGTCAACAACAAAAGTGTCCGGTTTGTCCCGCCATATGTAGATCATATGTAGATCATATGTAGATCAAAAAGTAAAAGTAAAACATACCTATGAATATTATATTCCATTTATGCCAATAGATCCTCCTCAATGTTACACACTGGACCTTTAAAGGTCAGATGAAGATTTTACGATTTTTAAATGTTGCTCACCATGACAACATTAAACTAATGTTCGAATGTTATTGCACACATAATAATATACCAAATATGATAAGTATAACACTTGAGTGGTGAATGGTTGTCTAATATGGTGAATCTTGCTAGCAACTTCAGTTTCACAGTGGTAGACTCAGGGTGTGATTTATACCATAAGACCCTGGGTCCATTGTGCATGGTTACAGCTGCACAGTGGAGGAGGTGTAAATGGTTTGGGTGGTGCCCCACAAGGTCTGTTACTACCTAGAACAACACCTTGATCCCAAAGACGTCCTTTACATGAGACGAGACCAAGTTCTTCCATTCATGGCCGTAATGTCACCCCAAGGGGGTTTGGTGCTTTTATCACTTCCTGTCATAGTGCAAGATCCAGGAATGATTTGAGAAACATGCAGGTGAATAACTGCAAATGACCTGGCGAACATGTTTTTTCGATATCCACTGAGCTCAAACACAGTCTCTGAAGGAGCACTGAAGCTTTAACAGCAGGATACTCCCTTGTTGAGTCACGGCCATTATGTGTGGCAGCTTGCTCAATGAGGTTTTGTATTAACTGACTATAACCCCCTAACCTTTGCTGTCTGCCCTAGCCTTTAACCTTTACTCTAAAATAAACCTTGTTCCAAGTGCTAATTTTAACAGTAAACCCACACCGAATTACCCCATGAAAGCAGTAAGGATAAACAGAATAAACTCATTTTGGACAATCTTCTTCTTTTTATCCATGAGAGAATATTCTGCTTCTCATAAGAAAAGAAAAACAAGAATACCTCGCAAAATAGAGTGATATTACTCCAAAGAAAGACACAGACACATTTAGTGGATACACATATACAGTTATTGACACACACTAAAGTAGGCACAGAGGAATCACAGACTGAGCACACCTTGTCCTCTGTGATCTCTCCCCACTAAATTGGGCTTCGCATGCCATGAGCCTGCGATTAGTGCCAGTAAGGCAGCGTGGAGCGAGGTGTCCTGTTACCTCCAGTATTCTTTTGCCTCTGCTGGCAGGCAAAGTCAAAAGAACAGCTGCCCTTCCTCCCAACACACAGATTCATTAATTATGAATACTGATACAAACACCCACATGTTTAAATAAGCAAGCGGATGCAATTTAATTATGCATAAACATGCAACATAAACATTTCCTTCGCACAACCTGCACTTTAACATTCATATACTGTGTAGAATAAAAGGTAATACAGTAAATTTTATGATATGACACTGAGCTGAGAGGGAGCTTGGCCACTCCTATTTGTTGCCATGCATTAAATATTTGCTTGCCGTGTTTGCATTTGAATTCATATTCACAATTGCATAATCACACACACACCAACAGCTAAGAAATATAGAAGCATGCTTATCCGTTGGGGGAGAGAAGAGGCAGCAGCCCCAGAAATTAATACAAAAGAAGTTACTGTGTATAATTTGTCAGTGAGTCTGTGGCCTCTGTTGAGTGAGGTTTTATTGATTCAGGCTGTATGACAGCAAGGTGACATAGTACAGCTTCTATTCCCTAAAGCATCATCCATCAGTGGGCGCTAAGGGTCTGCTGGGGCCCAGGGAGATGGGCTCTGTCAGGGAGTCCCTCTGCACTTACAAGGTAATACTTCAGCTGCAGTTGGTTTTGAAACTTTGAGAAAATTGTATGTATAGTAGAACTTGTGGTTTCCTGAAGTATAAGACCAGTGCATTATTTTTGTCTGGGCCGGGACCCACAGCTGGATTATGGGAGATTTAGTTGCCAATAAACACTGTTACATTTACTCAAGCTCTGTACACATTTTAGGTACTTGTACTTTACTTGAGTATTTATATTTCATGCCACTTTTACTACACTTTAATTCAGATTCAAATATTGTGCTAAA